ATAGATTGGACATTGCAAATAAAATACACTTGTAAGGCTGCTCTCTGATTCAACCACCATACCTCTAATCTAAAAAGATATATATAAATTTATCATAGTTCGTTGTATCATCTTAAGCTTACACTTGCAGCTTCTGTGTCATGTAACTTAATAACACATTGATATACCAAAATCTTGAAAGTTATGAAAATGCTGACACAAAAAGTAACTGGAAGGAATATCGTCCTGTTTTGCACATCTTCAAAAAGGTTGTGGTTTCTCTTTTTCACTGCTTTGGCAGGCACTCAGTGATTAAAAGGGTAATCTTTCCAGGAAGGGTGAGTAAATGGAAACTCCAGCTGTGAGGGAAAAGAAAGAAGACCATGTTTGATATTGCTACAGCCCATCGAGCAAAAATCACAAAGCAATCTGGTAGAGAGAGACAGAAGACTTCTGTTTCTTTTTCTGAAAAATGTAACAGGCATTGACCCGATGTCCTTTATTGTTCCTTGAGATTTGGGGAGCCAGCTTGAGATAACCACAAACAAGAACCAAATTGTTCATTACAAATTTGCATAAAAACTTATTTTAGCTTTGCGTTATACACTACTGATACAAATAATGGAGCCAGTTTGGCTACGAGGAACTGCAATCCTGTCGACCTTGGAGGAATGTTCTCGCTTTTATTCGAAATAAATGAAAACTGTATACAGATGCTAGCAACAGTACCTTCTTTCAAACCAAGAGGAACAAAATAGATAAATCATTATCTGAACCTCATGTGCTCCGTGCTGCAAGGTGGTGAACACCCCCTAAACAATGCTACGTCAGCTTCCATTAAAATGACTGAGAATCAAAGCCACTGGAGACCACAAAAGATTGCATGCTTCTGATGGTGTTGTTATTAAAAAGACAATAAAAAGTTCAAATTTAAAACCACCTGTAATGCAAAATACTAGAAAAATACTGATTATGGCCATCAAAATTTATTTAATAATTGTTGTTTATAAAATATTTCCATAGTGTCTGTAATGTGGTTCTCAGTAATTAATTAGAAACACCATAAAAGCCTCCTCCTCCTTTGGATTTTCAAACTGGCTTCAAATTACATATGAAGTGTTGCAAATGATTTCATCTGAAAACATGTAGGACTATGAAGGAAAGTGGCAATGGGGACTCAGGAACAGGGGATCCTGTTTCCAGCCCAGCAATGCTACTGGTCCTGTGCCTACAAGTAAATTACCAACACTTTTTTGACCCAAAGTCTTAATTGAACTTCTAACTCATAGTGATGTTGTGAGCATTAGTAAAATTGCAGTGTCTGGAGAGTCTCAGCCGGCACTAAACAAATAAAGCACTGCATATTTTCTTTCATATATTTGTAAAATATGTGAATTATTTTACAGACATACTAAGGTGTTACATTTTTTCCCCCCAAGACTTCAAAGTGGGTGAGTGCAAGTAAGTGTATACTTACCAAAAGGTGAAAATATATCTCTTTGCATCCATATTTTCTAAAATTGAGAAAGTGCTGATCCCAAGTATCATTACTGCCAATAATTCTCTGGTAGGTTTATAAATTTACTGGGGGGAAAGAGAGAGCTGTGTTAGTTACAGTTTCAGATCCCTCTGTGCTGGTTGTGCTGGGCTGCCACGGAGGAGAAATGGGACTGTGCTGCTAATGAGGCAGATAAGTCATCAGCAATTGCAATGATACTCTTCTAAATATCTGAACTATCAGTCACCAATGAAAGCAAACTTGATGGTCCGGAAGAACCCCCTTCCAGCTGTCGGAAACCATATCATTAATAACAGAGGAATCAATTTCTGCCCCTCCTCTCTGCTCAATCAGCAACATTAGAGCAGAGACTTGGGGCAGGGAGAAGCCAATAGCTGAAACTCGATTCCTTAAGGTACAATTTAATGTCTTCTCTCAAGTTAAAGTGAACAGTAGCATGGAACAAATTGCTCAACGGGAGAGACGATATCAAACAGGAAGCAACAGCAGATGCAGAACAAAAGTGAAGGGGAAAGTTGGGAAAAGAAAAATTTATATAAATGAAAGGGGACATCTTGGCTGTAAAGGGCTAAGTACGATATTCCTTATCAGCTTTTCCAAAGTACAGCACTTTTTAAGCCATTAACTTTTGGGAATAAACAATGGCTTAACATTCTGCTTAAATTAAAGTTAATCTGTGAAAGACAACTTTTGTAAAAAGATAATATAAATTTAGTGCTATGATTGATAGACAGCAAACTACATGTAGAAATGAATGTTCTGTGTGCGCGTGTATTCAGTCCTTCCTAAATTACAAATGCTAAGAAATAAATACACACAGACATTGCTCTATCACCGTAGGTCTGTTTAAGAAATACACAAGCTTGAAGACTGATCAGAAGGGGTTTTTTGCCTTGCAACATTTCAGTCTGGCAGACAGCTGCATTTCCGTCTCTCTGCTCTTCTTTTGAGGTCTTTTATCCGTGACTTCCCAGTTCCTTTCGCTCGTTCCCATAAAACCTCCAGTGTACCCAGCACAGCTCAGAGCAGCCGGCTGAGAGAAGAAAAACACTCCTGGCAGCGGTGGGATTCGAACCCACGCCCCCGAAGAGACTGGAGCCTTAATCCAGCGCCTTAGACCGCTCGGCCACGCTACCTCGGTGCTTCCTGCATACAGTGATCTTTTCTTCTCTAATAAGGAAAATAATCTGGTAACGGTGAGACTTAATTTACGGGGTAACATTCAAAGTCTTAATTGTGGTTTAGCCGAAGGGTTTGTCAGTCTTTTCGTGACTCATTTGAGACCAGGCAGCAAACACACCCAGAGTCCTCATTCTCTGGTGCTGTTTAACCCCAAGAGTCTCCTCCACGTGCAGAAAAAATGGTCCCAAACCAGCAGGTAGCTCTTTGTGCCTGCTTTGCAGCCACTTTAGTAAGAGACGAACGGCTGGGAAGACAAGGGGAAAATCATGTTCTGCATCTTCACTTTAAAAAGTGTTAATTAGCCTCAAGCCTTAGTCTACTTGTAATTGTTATGCTATTAGAATCCCTATCAGCTGGCTCTTCTTTTGCTCCTTCCCCATCAACCTACATCATTAGACATTCTCCTGATGTCTTCCCAAGTCTCTTCCAATCAATCTTCAAGTTCAATCATCGTAAGCCAGAAATGAGGCTGATTGTGGATGTTGATTCCAACATCCTTGGTCACAAAAAGATGGCTTTTTTTTTTTTTTTTTTTTTCAGCAAAAGAGTAAATGAAAGCATCTGGGAATGACTGGAAACCGGAGCAGATGGCTTGCTGTCCTGGAACCCAGGCTGCCAGAAGGGGGAACCTGCTGCTCATCCTTGAGAGAGACCCAGGAGGACAAACCCCATCTAAAAGTCGAAGAAAAGTGTCAGTCTTGAGGTCCACACTTTGTTTTCTTTTATTTTGATACCATTTCAGCTGAGTTATACTCCATTTACAGACTTCCAGCTGAGAACAGAAACGTGTTTGCATCACCATCCGGTACAGATCATTGAAAAAAATAAAAATCAATATTAAGACAATGATCAGATTAATGAGGGGAGGAGAAACCCTCTCCAAGACCCTGTGAATGGTGTGGGCTGCATGTCGCAGAGCGAGCTGGCATCTTCTGCTTTGTCCTCCCATCAGCACCGCTGATAGACCTGCACTTGATTAACGCTCCTTACCTTTAAGGTTTAATGATTATTGACCAAAGACTCCAGAAACTTATTTCAAAGCTGCTGCATTTTAATTTACTGCTCACAGGATAAGTGTTTGGGCTCATGCAGCTTTGAAAAGCAGCGCTTTTCTTTTTCCCTTTTAACATTACAGGGAACTGTCCTGGTTTGAGGTGAACCAGCACCAATTTTCTGTTCAGTAATTTTACTTTTCAGCCAAACCTCTCCTAACTGACTGCTCTCTCTGAAATTAACAGTGTATTTTTCAGACAGTATCAGCTCCCAGAGAGACAAGGTTTGATGTTCATGGTGAGTGCCAAGGGATGGTACGCAGACAGGCTCCTGCTTACACTTCCTGTTGTGACAGCCAAGCTCAGCTCACTTTTGGTGTGTACCACACTGGAGAGTCAGAAGTGGAAAAGAGTAGAGGGGTTCCCACCTGTGGGGAGGAGCGGCCAGGAGGGGTGGCCCAAAACTGACCAACAGGGTATTCCATCCCATCTTGCCCCATGCTCAGTGCAAAAGCTGAGGGATCAAAGGGTCAACTCTCTTCCTTCAATGGCCGGCGTCCAGGGAGGACTCTGTTCATCTGCATTGATCCCGATCTGTGCGTTCTTGACTCCAGACCCGAAATCCAGCACTCAATAGCTCAGACCAGTCTGGGACCTTAGAATCCGAGAATCACCTGGGTCGGAAGGGACCTTCAAGATCACCTGGTCAAATCATCAACCTAACGCTGCCAAGTCCACCACTAAACCGTGCCCCTGAGCACCATGTCTACACATCTTTCAAATATCTCCAGGGATGGTGACTCCACCACTTCCCTGGGCAGCCTGTTCCAGTGTTTGACAACCCCTTCCATGAAGAAATTTTTCCTAATATCCAATCTGAACCTCCCCTAGTGCAACTTGAGGCCGTTTCCTCTTGTCCTATTGCCTGTGACTTGGGGGAAGAGACTCCCACCTCTCTACACCCTCCTTTCATGGAGAAGGTCTCCCCTCAGCCTCCTCCATGCCGAACACCCCATCTCCCTCAGCCGCTCCCCATCACACTTGTGCTCCGGACTCGATTTGCACATGGCGTCACTCCCGCGTGACGTCAGGGCGCTACCGCATCACCGGAGAGGCGACGGGGACCCCGGGAGGGTGCCGACCCCCAGGTGACATCACGGACGGGCAACGGCGAGAGGGGCGGCAGCGTCCCCGCCCCGCGCGCTCCTGCCCTCCAGCGCGTGCCACCGCCCGACGAGCCCCCGCCCGACGAGCCCCCGTGAGGGCGGCGTGACGTCGCCGGGCCTACATTGCCCGGCAGGCCGCGACGGAAGTGACGTTAGGCCATATCCGGCGAGCGCACGGCGGTGCCCGGTGCGAGGTGCTTGGCCGTTTGCGGCGCTTGCGGTGGGTCGCGGCCGGGGCCCGGAGCTCGGGAAGCGGCGGCGACGGCCCGAACTGAGGCGCTTCTCTCCCCGCAGGTGCGGCCATGGCGGACTCCACGCAGAACGGGCCCATGCAAGGCGGGGCCGGCGGCGGAGCCGTGGTAAGGAGCCCCCGGAGGCGGGGAGGGGAGCAGGCCGCGGCGGGGCCCGGCTCAGGGCGGGATGTGAGGGTCCTGGGCCGGCAGCCCTGCCGCTCGGGCGGCCCTCCCGTCCCGCTGGAGCGGCGATACGGGCCGGCCGCTCGCCTGGGCACCGGCAGGGGGAAGCGGTGCTTCTGCTGTCGGGTGGGGAACGTGCTGCTGCTGCGCCCCCGCTCTGCAAAATACCTCCACCGGGACGGATTCCCGGCGGCGGCAGCTACACGTCTGTGGTTGTGTCCTGCAAGTAAGGCAGCAGATCATGGTGTGAACACCCTTGCGGGTTACCCAGGTTAATTTCCGGTCGCTTTCATAAAAAGGGTCTAGGAACACAGAGGAAAAGAGCAGTCTTCAAAAACTGGTTCAATTTCAGAAAAAAAATAATATTAAAGTTTGAGTTCTTCCAGGTGAAAGGAAGCTGGTGTTTGTTTCTTACTCACCTAAAAGCCAAAAAAAAAAAAATATGCTGTGTTTCATTAGGGCCCTTCTGGTGCAGGGGCTACATGTGGTGTGAAGAGAGCTGTGGTGAAGGAGAGCTCCTCAACAGGAGAGGAGATCACTGTTAAAAGCTTTTTTCTTTTTTTTGAGGCCAAGAATACGTAGGCCAAAATGATGCCACCTTCCTTACAATGTAGTTATGCTAACTTTACCTGACTCTTTCCTTTTTTTGCCCCTCCATAAGAAGTGTGGAGGCGCAGGCCCAGGTGTGTGAAGTGTATTCTAAAAGAATCCTTGAAGCAATACATGCAAAAGTCAGGTCTAAAGACTTTGCATGACACATTTTTGAAGCTGGCTGTTTGTGAGGTTGGGTTATTTAGGAGAAACTACCTCCATGTGAGATCTTACCTCTGTATTTCACTGTGATGTACAAAGGAGCCTTTTGATTCTGAGGCACCCCATCTATTTTTGATCTGCTTAGTAACATTGGTGAGTCAAATTTTGTATGGAACAAAAACATGCTCTTTGCTTTAAGCTATAATTTGCTTCTACTCAAAGTTGTAGAGAGAGTTACAATTTAACAAGAAGGGAAGAATGTTCATTGTATGCAAATATTAAGATACCAACTTCTGTGGGGGTTGGGTTCTTCCTTTTCTCCTAATGTAGCAATTCCTGATGGCTAACAAGTTGGACACAGCAATGTGGATTTCCCGCTTGTTCACGGTTTACTGCTCGGCTTTATTTGTCCTGCCTCTTCTAGGGTATGTATTATAATATCATACAATAGCATTAAAATTTATAAAGTAATTACACTCCTTTTTCATAGAGTTGTTTTTCAAGTAAGGGTAGATTTCTATTAGCTTATTTGGATGCTTTTTGTCAAAACAGTTTAGAGATTTTTAGGTTGGTTTAAAGCACTTCTAGGTGTGTTTGGAAAATGTGTTGAGCAACTGAAGTGGGAAATGCATGTTTAGTGTCTAGTTATGGAATAATATATTGAGTTCTTTTATCTTTGGCACTTACTGTAAGTCAGTGTTTCCAGTTTTTACGTTGTATTTTGGTGCTTATGTATGATAGTAGAAATACTTCAGGTATTGTGGGATTGTGATGCAATTCTCAAGGGTGGAAAACTTCTGAGCAGGGGCTTGGTTCATATGGTAACATCTCCTCTGATGATTTGCAGGTTGCATGAAGCAGCAAGCTTTTATCAGCGTGCCTTGCTGGCAAATGCTCTAACTAGTGCCCTCCGACTACACCAAAGGCTACCGCACTTTCAGCTGAGCAGGGCCTTCCTGGCCCAGGCTTTGCTGGAGGACAGCTGCCACTACCTGCTCTACTCTCTTATCTTTGTGAATTCCTACCCTGTTACAAGTATCCTTTACTTGTGTCAGCCCGGGAAACATTTTTAAATATCTTCAAAACTTCATTCTTTTCATCGCCTATGACTTGAAAAACTAGTTTAAACTAGAATATGTTTGCTATTCATAGAACATGCTCTATGTAAAATAGGAGAGACTTATGTTGATTGATCCATATTCAGCTTAATCACCTCCATAACTAGTGCACTGCAGTCTCTGGCTGCTTGGATTTTCTTTTCCTGAGACTTAAGTTCAGAGGTTTTTATCACCAGCCTCAAGTGATACTTTGAGAAGTTGGTAACTTTCATTTATTACTAATACGTGGTTTACATATGACTCCTCACTGTAACTAGGACATTTATCATGTAGGGAGACAATTATTCAGTAGTACCTTTTTTAGTTAAGCTTTTAAACAGATAAAGTCTGCAAAAAAAAAAAAGACTCCTGTGGCTTGTCAAAGGTGATATGTAAGAACTGACTTTTCTTTGTGCCATTTCATATGTGTGCTTCATATCTTAAGAGTATCTTAATCTTAAAATGTCTCTGGCAGAGGAATGTTTACGTTCTTGCTCTCTAAAATCTGAATGGCTGGCACCTGCATGTTCTCTGGTAAAGAAAGACATTTTGTAGTACCTCTTAATAAAAAAATATTATGACTATGTGTATTTGATAGACTGTAAGTAGTAACCTCATGTGTGTCTTTCATGCAGAAAGAATGCATTTTGTTAGAAATGCGCTGGTGTGTAAGGGTGTATGTTGTAGTTTCATGTACCTATATACACACACATTTTGAAGTTAATAAAAATGCATAGTGAGGAGGTTTAGGAAGCAAAGGAAGAGCTATAAGTATAGATGTTAGACACATACACGTCTTAATCCAGTGTAGGTGGTTCCAGCCAACCTCTTGCCAAGAGCCATCACGCTGTGACTTGTGTGTTAGCATAACATCACAGAGAAATGTGACACTTGTGCCGCATATGATTTTCCTTATCACTTGCTTCAGTGAGTATTTTTCCCGTTCTGCTGTTCTCTTTGCTTCATGCTGCCACGTATACAAAGAAGGTTCTTGATGTAAGTATGGTGTGCTGTATGATATGATTAATACTGTTGCTATTCTTGGGGGTTATAAACAGATTTGAGTTGCAGCTATGGTTTCCTTTAGCTGCATGGGGAGGAGTTAGAATGAAATTGTAGTATGGAATCTCAGCACAGAGAATCTGAGAAGTCTTTTTTGGGGTTGGATTCCCCCTGTCCCTTTCCGTGTTGGAGTTGACACTAATTCTTTCTTCAGATGTTGTTCTTTGAAGGAAGCAAAAGCTGTGTAACAGTTACATTAAAAATTAAGACTTGTCTTTTCAAGCTAAACCAAAGCCTGTGCAATTTAATGTTCTGTTTCAGTAGTAAAACAGTGAACTGCAGGGTGAGGCTAGCAAGCCAAGTACGTTCCAGTTGAACCTGCTGCTCAATGAACTGCCTTGTGCAGCTTAATGTAACTCCAACCAGGTGCTCCTAGCTGGGCTATCTTGTTGCTATAGGCACTTCCTCCTAGTGGACAGAATAAGTCTTAAACCTAAAATGGGTGGGTGAGGGAATAAAAACATCTCATGTTTTTAATGGAACTGTATGTAATTATGGAGTTTTCTTTGGGATACTAATTTCAATAATTTTAAAGGATCTGGTGTTAAAATTGCTGAAATGAATTGTAAATAACTTAGTATTTTGATTTCTTTATGCTAGAGAAGATAGGTGTAACTTGTATGTTTTCTGGCAACTTTTTTTTTCTTTTAAAGGCACGAAGTTCAAATAGCCTGCCTTTTCTAAGAAATCTTTTAGAGAAACTGAATGCTAATCAACAGAATATTCTAAAATTCATTGCATGCAATGAAATTTTCTTGATGCCAGCTACAGTTTTTATGCTTTTCAGGTAAGAGTTACCATAAATATTTTCAGAATTAGAAACTTTCTACACACACTTTCTACTTTTTGCAATCGAGTTTTCTGCGAGTCACAGATCTCCATTTGTATGGTTCTGGCTGACCAGGGCTTTAACTCAGTTAAATTTATGTGATTCCCAAACTTCTCAAGTTGGTGCAGCATGACATCAAAAAGCATGCACTGTTACAAACTGACCACCTAAACTCCTCCCCTTTCATGGCATGGGTGACATTGTTGGGTCAAATGAAAGTTTTTCAGGTCTGTAACTTGCATTTTCCTACATTATTCAGTAAGTTTAATTTTGGTCAGTGTAATAGAATATTAAGATCTTCAGCTTTGCTGAAAATGAACTCTTATTTTTGACTACTGGATTCCAGAAATTTAAGTTGCATGAAATTTCACTGTGCTAAAAATGTGCACGCAGGAGTAGGTTATGTCCTCTCCTGTCTTACTTCTGACCAGTGACCCTTGTCTCCTTTGATTCCATTTGGTTTTGCCTGCTGTGCAGCCTGTTGAAGTAATTTTAGGGATCTTGAGCATATGCATGTTGGAATCCTACTGCAGTCATATAGGCATAACGACCTGCCAGTCACCGAAGTTTGGGTCCTCGCCTTTTAATATTTGGAGGGGGAATAATGTCCTTTGTTGTATGCAAGTCATAGCACAGCGAGAGCATTTGTCTTGAGTGGTTTCACAGGCAGCAGAAGAGAGGCTTTATCTTCTCGGAAGTTGACAGAATGCATAATTTGTCTTTATCTTTTGATGTGTCAGCTGAACACTTCAATGCTTCAGCCCTGAAGGATTCCCTTTCATTTAAGGCCATTTACCAACTGACAGATACACTTTGTATCCAGTATCTGAAACTTTAAAGCACTTTAAACTTCTCTTTAGGAGAACTTGTTTTTCCTCTCTCTCTCTCTCTGGAGAATTTACTATGTGAAGTGTTGCTACTTGATATGTCAGTGAGTAGATATTGAAGCTTATAAAAGATCGTGTATCTTATAAAACATTGTATAATGGTTAAATGCAGCTATTGTGAGAATTTGTTCTTTAAACTGTTTTAGCATATTAAATTGCTTGTAAATACTGTACAGGTGCAAGATTTCCTTTTTTACCCCTCCTGTAGCTCCCTTTCCTTTTCATTTTATATTTTTTCTTCTGGGTAAAGATATTGCTTATATTTGAAGGAGCCTTAGTTACTGGAACTGTCGTGTTCAACTTCAAATAGAGCTTTTTAATATTGTGCTATATAAAGAAGCTTCAGTCATCAAAACTAAACCTATGGTATTTCTGTGTTTTGCTCTGTATGGTTTGTATACTGCCCTTTCACTATTTTACAGCACCGTCATGTGAAACAGCAGCTTTGTACAGTATCAAAACCTAATTTCAGTGTAACTAAAATAGTCGAGTAGGAGCTTGGCACTAATATCTCAGTACATCTGTAATAGTCTCTGGTGTGTTCTGAGAAGATACTGGAAAGATGGTCCAGATATTCCAAGTGCTACAGTTACTGCTGAAAAAAGCTTGCTGTAACCGGACCGTTTATGTCAGCCAATGTCTGCGCTTGACCAGCAAGCTGCTTCTTAATACTGACCAGGCATCCACCATCACTTCTGTGATTCTTTGCCCACCACCAGAAATGAGGCATACAAAAAAACTCCATAAATATAAAATCATTACAAGAACAGCATTTCTTTAATGGCTTCATTGAGCAGTTTTATTCTATAATGTAAGTTTCTGCTGTCCTAAGTGTCTGGTTATGTAAGTTTTTGTCACATGTAAATTATCTGAACCACTGTGACCCCAGTCTAGCTTTTTTTGAGCCTAAGTAGTTTGCTTGCTTTTGTTTGGAAAAGTCCTGTTTTGGGGGCTGTTTTTTGGTCAGTATTAAGCTCTGTTTCTCTATTCTCTTTCAGTGGGCAAGGAAGTCTGCTCCAGCCGTTCATTTACTATAGATTTCTTACATTACGCTACTCCTCTCGGCGAAATCCATACTGTCGGTAAGCAATAAATTGATTCTGGAAGTTAATGTTTGACTACATAGTGTTTAGGCATTCAGAAATTTTTTCATTGTGAAATGGAAGTGTAACTCACAATACTAAATCTGCAAATGGTACTTATAGAATGTGGAATACACCTGGATGCTAAAAAAAAAAAAGCTGGTTCAAGGTTACCTTTATTTCATGTGACTGAACTTTTCTGAAATGTACCACCATCCTTGAATGGGAACTTTCAGAATGTGCTTGCATAGTTGAAACTACGCTTTTGGGAGAAGAAATTATTTTTAATTTTAATTGTTCTGCAATCATTTTCCAGAAATATATCCTCATTTTTAGATTTCAGGTTTATCTGAGGCTATATGTGAACAGGCACTTAGAGCTTGCATAATGTTGACAGAAAAAAAAATAATCTGTGGATGATCTTAAACACAATCATTACCTCCTTTAGTTAAAACCATCAGTCAGGTTAATTATAATTAAAACAGAGCCTTATTGATTTTGTTTGAAAGTTGGTCAAGCCAATACTATTGCTTTAAACTTTGAAACCATAAATATTTCTGTGAGGATTTGCTCAGGTCAGTACTCTTTCAAAATGTTTCCTATGACAAGCATTGTGTAGCATAAGATTTTTGTGAACATACTTGCCAGTCTGACCACGACTTGATTAGAAAATGGTTTGCTATAGTACCAAGGAAGTGGCTTTGGCTGCCAGAGTATGCAAAGACAGGTCTGAGAATCATAAACTTAATCGTCTCTTATTCCCTGCTATTTTGTAAGAAATCAAAAATCTATCTTGGAAGATTTTTTTTTTTAACAAAAAAAAAAAATTCTCTGAAGGCACTTTACTACTTTGGTATCTGAAAATAATTTTGAAAATAAGTCGTGCAATGCTAAACCTCACTCTCAATAGAAGTAGTTCATCCAAGATGTTCTGCTGGCATTTATGTCATTTTAAGGGGAAACTGGTGTTGTGGGTTATATTTCTCATGTCTGTCTTCTGATAGTTGCTTCTAGAAGGCAGGATTCTTGCATTCTGGCAAGAAGCAGCACAAACACACAATCACCTCCCAACTCCTTACAGTATTTCTGATTTAAAAAAAAAAAAAAAGAATAATGCTTTATAGTGTGGTGGTGTTTTGTGGTGTGGTGGTGTGGTTTTTTGTTGTTTTTTTTTTTTTTGCTTGAAGGTGGAATTTTTCTGCTGTCTTTATATTCAGCTGGAAGCTGCTGAAGTAAAGTTAATAAGGACAAGAATTCTGATGCCTGTGCAAGTTACTGAAACACTGAGTTGATTTAAAGAACTTGCTAACTAGAGTGTGTGGAGGGTGTTGAGAGAGGAAGTGAATGAAAAAGAGATTTAGATGATACTTACTTCTGATAAATGCTGTAGGATTTTAAAACTCTCCTTAAATCTGATTTTTCAGGACTCTCTTCACCGAGCTGAGGATTGTTGTTGAACACTTAATAATGAAGCCCTCATGCCCTGTTTTTGTAAGAAGACTATGCCTCAGCAGCATTTCCTTTATAAGCAGATTGGCACCAACTGTTGCATAGCCAAATTTCAGGCACTTGTGTTTTGTGAACATTATAAGCAGCTGGCACTTCTGCTGATGATTATAAATTTCTGGTTTTACACTGATTTCACTCCAGGCTGTATAAAAATGTGTATATGCTTTTCTTGGAGATGATCTGAAATTTAGCATATCGAAATTACTGTGCTGTATAGCTAATTGGTGAAAAAAAGTTGCTGTGTTCTATCCAAAACATGCCCAGTCATACAGAATTGTTTTTTTTTTTTTTTTTGAGGAATCAAGGATTGTTTGAGGTTGATTAAAACTTTAAGAAGTCTGTACTCAGTGGTTTATGATAGCTTGAACAACAGCTACTGCAGGATGTCTCCAGTAGATAGCAGTTGGTACACATACCTATGCAGTACACTTTGGACAGTATTCTTCTGCTTACTAAATGTATCTGTAGAAGCATTTTGTCTAAATTACTAAGTGTAAAGATACGGCCCACTTTCAATTTAACAAGAGGGATTAAAATCTATCAAGCTGACACAGTTAACACCTTTTCTGAAGGAGAGACTATTTTTATTAATACTACTTCAAAAGAACTCTTCTAAGTTTCTGCATCGTGACAAAGTTTTACATTACGTTGTTGGAAGAGATCTCAAGACTCTGATCACGGAAAACTCTGTGCAGTTATCTTGTCATAACAAAATGTTTTACCAAGCCAGATTGCTGACCTGTAGGCTTTTCAGACAAAGATGCAGTGCTTAAACTTTTAACCATCTCTTAAGTGAACTAATCAATGTAAACGAAGTAACTTTCACAAAATCATTGCAGATTTTTTCTTGTGTCCACACAAATGTGGGACTGCGGTAGTTCAAGCATGTCAGCTTTTTAGAAAATTAATCTGTGGCAAGCTCTGTATAAATTGTTCTTCCAGTTTCTGAGACTCTCATTGTGACGGGGAATTTGCTTAAAGGATTGCACTTGTTTAGGCAGCTTCTGAAACAAATGAGTGTAGGATTTCTTGGCATAAATCCATGTGATTGCTGATCTGAAGCCAGTGTCATACCTACAGAAGTGAATATTCAATTGAGTGCTGATTATGCATTCACCCAGCAGCTAAAAGGTAGGTCGTGGAAAAAAAATGTTATGTCTGAACACAACTTCTTTCCATAAATTCAAGGCAAAGTATTTGCCTAATCTTGTGTAATTAATGTACTGCATAAATACTAACTGCATAAAATTTAATGGGTTTCATTGGATTTTTGTAAACTTCTATAGCACTGTACTTAACTATTCTTCCTTGGTCAGAAATCTTAACGTGAAACGCTTTCGGAAACAGTCTTGAAGCAAAGTATTTTCCTGTAACTATTGAGTTACCTTATTTGTGATGTGGATATCATTCAGACTTTCCTGTTGTGTTAGTTTGATAGATCAGAGCCATGTATTTATATACTTATTTTTTGCTCAACCTCTTGGTACTGATGAACCAGTTGGTAATTGAATATGATATTCTTTGACTACTTGTCTTGCTCTCTGAACATGATTAGCTATTTATAGAACTCTTGCACACTGCAGAAGCAACTGCATGCAGTAATGCTCTACAGCTGCTAAAGACTTGAACGAGATTCACTATATGTATATCCTGTAATTTGAGGATTTTATAAAAACTAAAATTTCTACTGCAATAAAAGGAGTGTTAAATGTAACTTGCTAGGCTCTTTAAGCTTATTTTCTCTCTAACAGAACATACTGATGCTTGAACCTGGAAGTTGAGCAGAATGCTGTCCTGTGTGTATGTGTGCATGTTCTTACATTCCCACTGCTGCTTCTGAATTGGGATGTAATGTCTTGTGCGTTTCTAAAAGATTTTACAGGGAATTTTTGCCTTATAAAGTGCAAAAATTTGTAACTCTTTCCTTCAAAATTTAACCGAAGAATAAGCACTGCAACAATACTCTCTAATCAGAGCAGAAATCTAGACCTAATTCTTGCTGCTTCAATTCTTCAGCGCTGTTCTAGACCCTTTTTCATATTACATGGTATATTTGTCAAGTGGTGACATCAGACTCTGTTCAGCTCTTTGCACCGTGATCTAAAAATTAATTTATCATCTAAGTTGTTCTGCCATACTGGAAGGCAAATAAACACTTTTGTAATTAGTGTAAGCAAAATGTGTTACTTCTGAGCAAACTTCTTTTGTCTAAGACTGCTCTTAAAGGTGCAGTCTACTGTTCTTTTAATTGTATACTGCTATTAAATTAGAGAAAAGTCTAAATTGGATCTGATGTATTCTAACTGAAGGATGCAAAGTCTTGAGATGAGGGAGATTAAACAGAATAAGTGAATGAGATTTCAGTTGAGAGTTGAAAGTGCAAAGAAGTAGAGCTTATATGTGAATATGAAATTTCTTGTTAATTTTTTCTATTAAGTCTTAAAAATACATCAAGAGGAGGAATATCTTTCATAAAAGGGATTTGATTTGGCTAGTAGTATGTTCTTGGCTTTGCAAGGAGTTGCTTTACAAATGAGGCCTGGATTTTACTTGTGGCCTGGTAAAACTCACTTCTGTGATGTGCCAAGAAAACATGGAATGATGGGGTAAGAAAAACTTCCAAGCAAAAGTAGGGCATCTGACCTGCACTCTGCATCAACTTTGATTTTTACTTTAGCTGTCTAAATGATAACACCGAGTTTCCTTAATGCTGGCAAAAAACATTCTGTCCTTGTGCTTGCTTCCTTACCGCAGTTTGTGACTGTTTCAATACTGATGATTAAATTAAAAACATGAAATGCTGGTTGTGTCCTGATAGCATGAGATTTTTTAGGTTAAAAACTATGTTTATGCTGCTTTGCTGCCAACAGCTAGCCGTGATGCAGAGCCTGTAACAGAAATCTGTGGTAGAAGAGAAACTTTGCAACTGACCATAAAATGCCTGCCAACCCCAAATGTGAAGCAGAGAACTTGTCCTGCTGAAAGTTTGTCTATCTAAGGTGGTAATTGTTTCCACTGGTATAAATCACACCAGTCACTGCTTTTATCATCTTAGCTTTCCTAAGTTAAAGTGCCGTTGCGTAAATTCTGTGGGCAGACCCCCCCTTGCTGTGCACAAGCTTGCTGTACAAGTGATGCTCCAGCATAAGAGTTGTCTGTTCTCAGCTGTAGATAAATAAAGCATCAGGGCCCACTGGGTCTGTTGGAGCAGCTGATGCCAGCTGGGATTTCTTGCACACAAAGTAATTCACTAGTGCATCCATCCTTTCCTTTATTGACTCTTATTTAATTTTCTACTTCTACTGTCACTTTTGTTCTGTCAGTTTTATGTTTTGCTCCTTTCTCTGATGGATGTTCAAGGGGAACAATATCTGTTAATATTTTAAGTTACACATTCTAAGGATTTTTTTTTTAGTATAATTATGAGCCACTATTTGTTTCAACCTTTTTTTAGCTGCTAACTATATATGTGATAGTAGTGTCCTAACAAATAAGGTAGCTGGTTATTTTGTACAGTCTGTGTTGGATCTTTCTATCGTTAGGCCTGGTATTGCAACATTTCCTGTGCAGATTCCTTGTTAATTAATGAAGTACAGTCCTTGCCCATTTTACAAACAGGAACTGAGGCGTGGAAGAAGAGAGAACTTGCCTGAGGTGATGTAAGAGCTCTGGCAGAGAAGGAAATAGACAAGACTTGGACAATTGTCTGGGGGAAACTGATTTGCTTTTGCTCCCACTTCCAAAATGATACCAACTGCTGCTTAAACAGTTTCAAAAAGTACTGTACCGTAGGGTGCTCAGATTAAGGGTGGCAAAAACCAGTGAGCTAGACCAGCATGTTCTTTTAAAGCAATGTCAAAGGTGGTTTCCATGTACAAGAACTAGGTATGGCCCTGGTTATCATCATCTGGTTGGTGAGGAAAAATAATAACAGAGTAAGATCGCAAGCACTTACATGCTAGATATTAGTAGGATGTGCTGATCTGTTGTAATTATCTGTAATTTTTAATTGCTGCAGTGCAAGTATTTGTGGTTAAACTATATACTGAAATTGGTTAGTGTATCTGTACTGTAACTTTTATTGTGCTATAATTTTCTTAGAATCACAGGAAGAGTCAGGCTTTGCTGTTTTAAATTGCCTTTTACGGATAGAACCTTAAGCAATCCTTTATTTCAAAGATGCATTATCAGTATGGATAATGTAATTGAATTTACTCTTAAACGTGGATTCAAAAATATCTTTTTCATAAAATGTCAGCATTACTTATTAACTTTTCTGCAGAAGCTAGCTGTGTGGTAATAGCAGATACTGTGCAGGTAAGGGGGCTTCATTGCTTAGTTCTGTGCCATCCAGATGGTACAAACTTCTAAAATGAATTGAAAAATTCATCTTTTACTTGTATTCAAGGACCGAGGCACAAAATGCTAATGTAAGGGCTCAGAGGGGAAATATAGTTCCCCTGCATATTTGAGAAAATGTGAAGCCCTTTCAAGAAAATCTAATAAACATAATAATCACAGGCTGCTGACACTAAGGAAAAAGCACCTCATTCGCTCTTTCTTTTATGCAGCGATTTACTGGTCCCTACTGATTTTCAAATTGGATCACTGCAGTAAATTATCCATGCCAGTACCTGTGAAAGAAAGCACTGGGATCCATATTTGTTTAGTGCTGTGCTTAAATCAGCAAGAATGATAAATCTGATGGTATGAAATTGGAAATATCAAGGGCTTTTTTCAGTGAAGGAGCAAGTATCTCCATTTGTAATTTATTGTGACCCTTTTTCACTGTATGTGCTTTGTATGTCAAATATTTATTTTGAAACAAATTAAATTGTTTTCTGTATTGATACAGCTATGGTTTTGTTGATGTTCTTGAAATCAAATTGTATAGGGTTTCTTTTGTGGATTTAAAATATTACCAATGTTGTGTTGCAAAACAGCACTTGTTGTTTAAGTTAAAATCTCTGAGTCTCAGTTACTGACCAACAGCTTTCCATGTTCAATGTTCTGGGTGTGTGTTGGGTGTTGTGGGGGTTTGGGGTTTTTTTTTGTGTGTGTTTAGAGTAGTGCAGAATGCAGTGAGCTACTGCACTTCTCACTTGTGTTTCCTAGAGAAAAGGGAAGATCAAACTGTGTATCAAAACCAAAAAAAGCTTTACACCTGGCGTAGGTAATGCTAAGCCCTGTAGAAAAACAACTACCTACGTGCTCACTTTACTACCATATTTCCAGTGTAAGCGTTAATAGAGAAAGTTAACTGTACACTTGTGTTTTGGCCGGAGTCCTGTCCTTTAATGTGAAAATAGGTTACTTTGTTACTGTGATTACAATCTCACTAAGTGCGTGCCACTGTTGAACTGGAAGCGAGTTGTAGTTAGTGCCTGATTACTTGCAAGTTTTATCAGTGTAATAATTTGTTTAGCAACTAGTGAGCAAAATCATAAACTAGTGTTGTTAATAATGTGACCCTTGTGTTATCCCCCTCTTGTGGGCTAGGCTTAGCTCATTTGGGAGAGCATGTCAAATAGCTGACTCCTCTTTAACCCTGGGCTTTACCACAGCTGGCTACCATCATCCAGCTGTGGTTTTGCAGAAGCAGTAGTATGGGCTGTATTTTGAGGAGCCATGAAAGACCTTGTTCTTAAAAGAAAGCAATGGTTGATTTCAGTTCATCTCCCTTTATTCTGGTTTCCATGTGCCTGACCATGATACCTTGCTTGTGAGGCTGAGTGAGGTGTTGCAGCAGTCCAGACTCCTGCCCGGGTGAGGAAACTGGTTTCCTGTTCCAAGTGCAGATCATGGTATTATGTTCATTTGGTGTGTGTGTTCCTATGAATGTTCACTCAGGCACCTTTGCCAGAAGAGCAAGAGGATGTTGGATGAAGATGGTACATCACTTGGTTGAGGTATTTCACAGGAAAATTAAGCTGAAAATCAGAAATTAAAAAGGTGCAGGGCAAAATTATCTGCAAGAGTTAAAGCAATGTCAGCTATAGTTTTCACAAGGGCAGAAATGTAATAGGAGGAGAAAAAAAATGGGGAGAAAAACAAGAATGCAGAAGAGTTCAGCTCTGTGATAAAGGTATGGAAATCTTACTGGGTGCTCTTTACTTTCACAAACCTCAATTCACCATTCATGGTTTTATGCCATTGGTATCCTCTGGATAGTACTTAAATTTTCTAGCTGTAAATTATTTTTAATTTAGTCTCTATGAAAATACTATTGGAATAGCATGTTCAGATGCTGCCACGTTGTACAAGAGCTGACAGGCTGATCTTGGTTTACTTAAAATGGAAAACAGCTGCAGTGAAATTGTGTGTTCTTGTCCATTATGTTTGAAGCTCCCGTAGTGGAAAAGTAAAGAAATAAACACTATGATCTATATGGCTGACTGGGCTTCTTGGCTCCTTTTTTTTTTTTTTTTTTAAGCTTTTCTCTTTCCATGTTGCTTTGCTACATTTTCATATTGGCAATCTGGGGGAAGATGCCATATATGCAACTGCATGGCGTTTTGTCCTCATGTACATTTGCTTCTCTGTGCAAAGACGCATATGGAACATGATATTTGTAATGTAGCTTTTTAGCATTTTTGGATTTATTCTTTTTAATTTAGAAAATCTGACCAAACAGTGTTTTGAGGTGACAGATGTTTGGCTATTACAATCCGTTTCAACTTTCTGCTATAGCAACTTCAGTTAAGTTCTGACTAAACCACAACAAAAAACATTATGAATCCTTTCAGTGACAAGGTTTAAATCAAAGCCCTTTTTAACAAGTTTTTGTAATGGCAGATGGAAATATGAAGTTGACTCCAAATTCTTATGTACCCACTGGCATATTATCAGTTGTATAACTATAATACAGAGAACTAATGAAACCTTGGAAACTGAAGTTATAGCATCAAGCATGAGTTCAGAGCATGCATTTGGGTATCCTGTGGCTCTATTCACATTTTTAATCCTCTAAAATTTCTTAACATTGCTCTGGGGCAGAGGTAAGCAAGATGTTTTTTGCATCAATGTCTATGTGCTGTAGATTGATGTACATATATTTACAGCAGCACAGAAATGACTAAATAAACCATTTAATATCCTGAGGGGTTTTTGCCATTTGGATATGTTATGCAGTTTGCTTTTGCTGATTTTGCTCTTTCTGCTCTCTGCCAGTCTTCTCTCTGCAGAGTGTTACACAACTGTAAGGGAAACAGTTTTTAAAGAAGATTCTTGCACTACACAGGTGCTTCTAATATCCTGCCTTTATATGCTTGAAAAGTACTAGCAAAGTTTATTTCACATTCTTGTAATATTTTTTTTTTCTCACAAGCAAAAGAACCAAACTCCTTTTAAGCTGGTCCTTGATTTGCTCAAGTAAGAGGTTGTAGGACAGGTGGAGCAGCAGGAGACTAGACCTGATGATGCAGGAAGCTTCTCCCAGTCCTGTGTTCTGCTGCATCTCTGCATTCTCTGTAGAGAATGAGTAGTTGCCTCAATATATTATGTATTATGTACCTAGTATGGCTTTTAAGAATTTTAAACTAGCTTCCTACTTTAGGATGAAGATAAGTGCTACTACTCTTAAGAGTTCATTTTCCTTACTCAAAGGCTGGAAACTTTATTTGATGATATTGATTTGGTCATTTGAAATTAAATGGAATTTTTTTCCATGTGCTAATTTTATTCCAAATCACTGACCTCTAGTGGCTGGTTTGCAACCACGAAGCAAAACATGTTAGTCATTTAATGTGCTCCTCATGTTTCTATTGGCTACGGGCTGGTCTTTTTTCCCTTTAAATTTCTCAGGAGAATAAAGTCTCTTCACGAGATATTGTACTTTAGCTTTGCAAGTGTCTATCTGCCTTATGTACTGGAAAGGAGATCAAAAGACAATCAGACTTTAAAGAAGTTAACTACTCACAAGCCCAAATGTTTGTTGTGATTGTTGGGGAGCCAAAAGACCCTATGATTTGTGACAGCATCCCATAATAAAGATCTTAAAACATTTATTGTCAAATCCTTGCAGTCATAAAGCACAGTAATTGTATTAGCAGAATCCTGATTCCTTTTTGCTTAGGATGTTGCTGCTTTACACGTGACATCTTTCCTATGTGTGTGAGTGTGGGATTGTTGATCCTGGAACAGTAATATTTTCATCCTTTTCCTGCATAACCATGCAGGAAGGTGCACATTTCTGGATGTAAGTTGTATGAATCTTTCCCTTTTCCCTAATTTGATTGTAGCTGCATATGTCCCAGTGTAACTCCCATTGATTTTTTTGTTGAGATAGGCAAGGGACTCTCCATTCCCCAGTGGGAGAGCAAATTCTTTAAAAGCTTAATGCCTCCCATTAGGAAAACAGAGCATCAGGTAGTAAAAGGAGTGCCTGCATTGGCGTGTTAAATCAGAGTCATACTCTCGTTTACCATGAAACCAAACTGGAATGTCTGCTGTAGGCTTGCTCCTAATGAGCTCTAGTCCCTGTCAGGGCTGCATTACTGCCAAGTTGTCCTGTGTGCACCAAGCGCATGTGGCAATGGAGGGCTTCCAAATCGTGGAGACAACACGTGGTACCCTGAAGTCTTCTGAACACTGAAGGGCCAAATGATATCTCTGCTTCTGTCAATCTTCAGCCCTCAGGGTTTATCCTACCTCTCTCCTATTCTGATATTACTTCCCTTCTTTATCTGCCCTATTTCCTGATGTTTGCTCTTACAAAACCCTTTCTCCCCAGCTTTATCCTACTCCCATTTTAACCAGTTCTGCAGTACTGACATTAGCTTAGCTTCCCAGAGAATCTGGTGCATGTCACCCTGGTTCCTGAAGAAAGGATGTGGCTGCCACCTGGCTGCTGCTGGGGTCAAAAAGGGCTGACTGAGCACTGCTGCATGCAGTTCAAAAAGCTGAAGATGACTCTGCTGGTGTCCAGGTGAATGAACTGCATGCGAATAACTGAAAAAGCTTTCATTTCCAGCACGTGGATAAATGATTTACTTCTAGTCTATGTTGATCTTTGGTCTGGTGACCATAAAATAACTTTGCAGATTGATGTTACTCGAAGTGGCATTACAGAGACTTCTGTAGATTCAATGTTTTGTGCTTTGGAAGAGTCATTCCCCTCATACATCTGTCAGCCATGAAATATATTCTCTCTTTCTGTTAATTGAAATATATTACCTGAAAAACTTAAAAGGCTGTTTCAGATCACTGAACATTGTATGTATTAATACTTTTTTTTTTGAACTATCAGTATGTATTTGCTTGGTGTTAACAATGTCTGCGTAGGATCATAAAAGGTACAAAAATCAAAAGCAGTCTTTTCCTTTTAAAAACCTTGCTATGCTGAATGAAAGACACACAAAGGAGGATGTTATGTGAATTCCAAAGAGGAATTTAAACTACATCCCCTGCTGCTCTGGGTACACTGCAAGTCTCCCCCCACTGTATAAACTTGAAATCTTTAATTTCAGCTTAAAAATTACTAAAAACGGCTTTATACTACATCATTTTTCATATAAGGAAAACAAATCCTTCACTATACATTAGCCTTTACATATGACAGATTTCTTGCTAGATAGTAACATCGGAGAATTTCATCATGATGTACTGCTGTAGATTAAGTAATCAATTAAAGCTTAGGGTGCAATTCCAACTGTATTGAACAAAAATGTTACCACTCAACTAGAAACAAGATCTTACCTATTCACTGTGGCTGTATGTAGTAGTCTTTGCCATAGGCAAAAGGTTTTTTAGTGTAGTTTGAATGTACTGAAATATGTAAACAGTTCCCTATTGTCTTGGGTGTGTCTCCATTCATTGCTAGTGACTGACAGCTAATGGTTGTGATGCTCATAAATAAGGATTTGAGATTTTTGTCTAAGGATGCTGCAGCTACATGCCATGAGGTATGGCAATTCATTATCAATTGCTTTATGTACTTGGCTATTCCACACTGAATAGGCTGTTATTGATGCTCTTTTGCTTGTTCTTTGTCTCCTTCCTCCAGTTTCAATATTTATCAATAGCAAGGCTCATGCAGAGCCCTTAATCATGTAAATCCTGGTTGACCGCCATGCTGGTGGTATCTATTAATCTGTCTATGCTATTCCAGCTTTATTATTTTCTTCCTGTTTCATATTTACCACAACAAAACCAGACAAGGCAAATTCAGTTATTCAGCTGGATAAAAGAAGATGAAGTAGCTTAGTAATTCCATTTGCTTTTGAATAGGAAATGAGAAGCGTAAAGAAAATATTTTTAGAAGTAGTGCAGGAGTTAACATCTCTCTTAGAGGAGAGACTCTTCAGAAATTACAAATGTTTCAACACTTTCTGTATTCTTTCAAATGTGTTTATGTAGGGAAGAGAAAGGGAACTCTGTTAACCTGTTTCTTCTTTTTTTACTGTTAGGCTCTTGCCAAAATAACAAGCAGCCAGCAAAACATACACCAGCTGCATGTTAGACCCCAACTAAAATTGGTGAATTGACTCCACCTTTGCTACTTTACAACTTGCAGTTAATTTAGCATTTAACTCCATTGCTGTACATCTGGTACTTAATGATACAGCATCTGTTACAGTGCTCCTGATTCACCTGGTATGCCTGCGATTAGACTATTGGGAAGACGGGTGTTAATTATTTTATGCAAGTATTTTGCTTCAATCTGCCTCCATTGGGCTTCTGTGAAAACTTGTATTGGCCATGCTAATCACTAGCTGGCTGGTAAAGAAGTTATGTGCCAGCAAACCTTGTTCAAAATCTAATTGGGTGTGTTAAAGACAGGCACTGTAATAATTCTCCTCAGCGATCAAATGCTTTGTGGATTATCAGCTACATTAATTATCCAAATTCCCTGCCAAGCTAACTTCTGGTGAGGTCCTATGTTCCTCATAGCGTGCAAATGAAGGCAAGGAATCACAGAATCATGGAGTTGTCAGAGTTTGAAGGGACCTCTAGAGATCATCTAGTCCAACTCCCCTGCCAAAGCAGGGTTGCCCAGAGCACATCACTCAGGATGGCATCCAGGCGGGTCTTGAAAATCTCCAGAGAAGGGGACTCCACGACCCCCCTGGGCAGCCTGTTCCAGTGCTCCGTCACCCTCACCGTAAAGAAGTTTTTCCTCATATTTAAATGGAGCTTCCTATGTTCCAGCTTGTGCCTGTTGCCCCTCGTCCTATCACTGGAAACCACTGAAAAGAGTCTGGCTCCATCATCCTTCAACCCACCCTTTAGGTACTTGTAAACATAGGTAAGGGCTCCCCTCAGCCTTCTCTTCTCCAGGCTAAAGAGCCCCAGCTCCTTGAGCCTTTCCTTGTAGGGAAGGCGCTCCAATCCCTTAATGATCTTAGTTGCCCTATGCTGGACTCTCTCCAGCAGTTCCCTGTCCCTCTTGAACTGGGGAGCCCAGAACTGGACACAGTATTCCGGTTGTGGCCTCTCCAGTGCAGAGACTAGTTGTCAGTCACCAAATATTGAAGCTATCCTGGAAAAAACTTAAAATTGCTAAATTTATATATATATATAAAAGGACTAATTACACGCAGGGTGCTGATCCAGGCTGTAGGTGGGAAGCGCAGACGCAGGTGTCTCAGCAGGCCTGGGATGGGCACAAGCAGACGCGTCAAACCTCCGAAGGCAGGATCACCCTGGAGAGACAGCAATTTTAATGACATTTATTAGATCAGCGCTGACCCGGGAAGCGCGTTTTAGGGGAGACCTAAAGGGTGGGGAAGAGCATTTCCACATTAAAAATAAAATCCTCCCAACCGATTCGGGGAGGAGCGTGTTACCGGGCCGAGGTGAGGCGAGGTGCCCTGACCCGCTGAGGCGAGGCGCGCGGCTCTGCGCAGGCGCGGGTGCGTCAGCGGCGGCTCCTGAGGCGT